TGTCTGTGTTGTCCCTGACGGCTAGGTGTTATCCACTCACGATTTTCTGCTTCACTGTATGTCTTCTTGTGATCTTCCTCCAGCCCTCTGTAGGCTGAGATTCAGCAAAAATACGTACGAACACCCATCCCAACCTGGCATGACAGTGGCCTGGAATCGGACACTGCCAGAGAGACTTTTCTGACCAGGGTCATCCTCTGAGCAGTAAAGCACAGGTTGTCTGGGCCCTGTCACCTGGGCTCCCATTAGCTTGACAGAAAAGCTCTACACATCCCGTGTCTGTTTCAGGCCAGGATCTTAAGTCACATCCTTGTTAGCTGACTAAGGCCTTCTACCGTGGGTGGGAAAGAAGATGTACTTTTTGTGAGCATATGTCCCAGCTTTTTAAGGACACACCTAGTGTTGGATATTGGGTCCTTTTCTCCTCACCTGTATTAATCAGGCCAAGTGGCACAACTCTGGGTTCGTCGTGGCCATGTTCTACCACCGATACAGAGAGCCGTGAAGCAGAGGTTTATGTTGCAAGAGGGCATGAGGGGTCTGTCATGGCATGTTACTGTGTCGACAGCTCACTTTTATTAGTCAGCCAGTCACTGCTCTTAAGCACTTCAATAGGTTCATTTCTTTAACCCTTGAAACGAATCCATAGCACAGGCAATGTTATTGTTCCCGTATGATAGACGAGGAAACCGCGACACAGATGGCTGATTTCCCACACCCAGGGTCACTCAGCCGGCAGTAAAACAGCTGAAACTTGACCTCTGGCCGTTCGGCCTGGACTCTGTCCGTGCACCCCACTGATGGGCCGCCTGTCCCTGAAAGCTGAGACAGAGAACAGTGTGTGTGACTGGGCCTTACCACCCATTGCCTGGTCGGCTGTCCCTTTCCACTGAGGGCCCGGCCGCACCCCGGGCCCATAGCCCTCCGTAGTGAGCTACTTGGATGTCCTGTTCTGAAAGAAATTACCGTCCCAAGGAAAGGTGTCACCCTGTCCGTGTTCTTCTCTTCCAGAGCAAGACATCTTGCGACAGGAACTGAACACACGTTTCTTGGCCTCCCAGAGCGCTGACCGCGGGGCCTCCCTGGGCCCCCCACCCTACCTGCGGACCGAGTTCCACCAGCACCAGCACCAGCACCAGCACACGCACCAGCACACGCACCAGCACACGTTCACGCCCTTCCCCCACGCCCTGCCGCCCGCCGCCATCATGCCGACGCCAGCACCGCCCATGGTGCGTACCCCAGGCAGAAATGTGAGGATAAGTAGAGCACGACTCTCTTTTTACGCAGCACGGTGGGGTTGGACCAGGCCGTCTGGGCACAGGAGATGGGCTGGGGAGCAACAGCTGTTTGGGGGACTCCCTTGACCTTGCTCAGCTCTGCTGGAGAGAAGGGGATGTGCCCTGCTCCAGGCAGCACTGACCCAGGGCCTAAAGTAGGAACTCTTTGCTAGACGGTGATTCCTAGCACTGTGGGTGGAATTTATTCTAGGTGCCCTCAAAACGGTCACATCCAGTGTTGGTAGTTAACTTTAGGGCGCTTTTGTTTTCTTGAGCATCTTGGGGAGTTGCCACCAGATATAAAAATGTCAGTGTTCGGCGCTAGCAAATAAATGCTCGCGGAATCCCGGGAAGTCCGGAAGGGCCGAGGAGGGAGAGAGACATCAGGAGACTTGGATGGCCCTGGGTACCCCTCCCCCAATACCCGCTCTTTCGGAAGGTTTTTTAAACCGGCTTTGATGGAGGTGTTGTATTTCCCGTATTTCATAAGACAGCGCCCCCAGTCTGCTATTGTGCTCTGCCAGCAAGTGGTCAGGGAGCGATGAGCCCTGCACGGTCCGAACTCAGCCTTGTGGTAAGAGGGACCACTGGCAGTGACACGATCTGGGCCTTGCCTGGGGACTAGCGCATGCCGGGAGGACCAGTTAGGGTTGTTTTTTAACTTAGGAGCTGTAAGGAATAGTAGGATACTAACTATTCTGAGATAGATGCCTGTCCATAACAGTGACTATTAGAGTGTTTTACTTATTTAATTTTTAATATTTCAGGAAATACTTGATTTTAAGGCAATTAATATACGCATTGTGAGGATAGATTTGAATTCCGTGATTCACCAAACTTTGCATCCTCTCCTCCCTCCCTCTCCCCCATTTTGTTCAACTTAATTTTTTTAAATATATATTTCAAAGTTTATTTTATAAACTTTATTTAGGAGAATATTAGAGGTAAGGCCTTGGGACCAAAAATTTTTTCCTGTGATAAATCCTGTATCTATTTTCTGGATGAACCGTACTTCTCAACAGTTATTTAGGGAAGGAGCTTATACCAGTCTGAGTGAGCTGTTTCACAAAATGAGTTAAATCTAACTGAGGGGAGTTACAGCCCAGGATGATGACATTACTTAGAAGAAATAATGGTATTTTCTCTTTTCTGCTCAAAAGAAAGGTTCTAAGACCTAGCCCAAATTGCCTTGTATTTGGGGGTAATACATTTCAGAAAACAGCTGAATGTACAGTTCTGCCAAAGTGAAGATGAAAACGGAGGGAATTCTCTGGATAAATCAGATGCAACGCTCACTTCTCTCTGATTTATCTGAACAATTGCCTCTTCTCTCCAGTTCAGGTGTTTGGTGCGCGCCAGTCTCCAAATACAGCCTAGAAAGCAAGCCGCTCCTGTGTGGCCAACCTAAATGCACTGAATGGGTTTTCACTTTGATTTTGCGTTCCTGTTGATTTCTCGTCAGAGTGACTCGAGCTCAGAACGGTTTCATATACAGTGAGGTTACAGAGGCTGATGACAGCCTAACGGCAGAGAAGCTTGCTTCGGGCTACCTCCACTGAAGCAGTGAACAGAAATGTAGATTCTTTAAGTAACTAGCTTTTGCTTTGATCCCTTTACAGTTTGACAAATACCCAACAAAAGTTGACCCATTCTACCGGCACAGTGTGAGTCTTGTTACCATGCTACCCATTTAATGTAACTGCTTTTCCATTTTTGTGCTCTCACCACAGATCAGTAAATGACTAGCAGCCTTCCTTAATCATCTTTGCGAGAATTCCCATTGCTCCTCGTCACTTTGGATGCTTGCTTTTTGTGACGTTTGCTTTTGGTAAAGATGCAGTATCATCTTCTGAATCAAAAGGTCATAAGCACTCCTAACACTTTAAAGCGAAGGTGGACTTCACTGGCAGCCAGGCCTCTGTCCTGCAAAGTGGGGCGCCCGCAGTTAAACCCTTAGAGTTTCAGGAGAGTCTGAAATCAGATTGCAGTCTTCGGTCGAAATGTCCTTAACACAGAATTCCTGGAATTCATCTTCGATTATTTCCTCCAAGGAAAGTACCATATCTTTTTGACTCACGACTTCAAACAGCAAATTTTCATTTCTTCTAGACCGACTGTTGATCCCTCTTACACACAGCTGGTATTGTTCTCCTGAGCTCGTTAAAACTGCGACTAAAAATATTATTTAAACAAAAGAAGATCTCAAAACTGAAATGCATGATTTTTTTTCTCTTTAAACTCTTCTTTATTTAAAAAAAAACAAAACTTTTTTTTTTAATTGTTTCATGCAATTTTAAGAGTATGTTCTGGAACTTCAATTGGCAACAACCTAAGTTATATGTTCAGTTAATTACAAGACGTGGGCTTCTTTTATAACAAAAACCTTGAATATCTTACCATGATATTTTGATTATGGAGTGTATACTGCATCATTTTTACCTGAAATTTTGCAAGTTTTCTTTGCTCAGTGGTTTATTTATATTTTTTAAATGAAACCAGAAAGAAGGAAGTTTAATAACTGCCTGTAGCCATGTTGATTCACCGTATTAAACTCTTCTTGCTTTGAGTTTTGGATAGTGTTACCTTACTGTTCAAACAGAAATGCTACTTAATAGATCAGCCAAGCCTGTGAACTCATTCATGCTTTGAACTAGATAATTAGACCCTGTGTTAGTCCTAAGCTGAGAAGTGAGCTGAGAAGTCAGGACTAGACAATATTAGAAATCAAATGAGAATTACTTACGGAGAGACATTCAGAAATGGCTTGAGGAGAGCCTCTTCAGAAAGGGATGAGGAAGGTGTACCTGAGCACCTGGGCCCCCCAAGTTCTTCAGCACTGTTCTGCTCAGGACTGTGACACGAAAGCATTTTTCAGATGGACATGCACAATGCAGTAGAGCTGTGGGTTTTCTCTTTGCATGGGTTTCATGAATGGTACCACCCTTAATAATCACCAGATTTCTGCCCTTTGTCTATACTTGCCAAGTTCAGTTAAGGACCAGCTAACAAAATCATTCTCAGAGAAAGTTTAGCTGCTCTGCTGGCAGCTCAGTTTACTTCCTAGGACCTCATGCAGTGTCTTTTCATATACATATTCCACAGAGAATCCTAGATTTAAGATGAAGAATAAGTCTGCAAGCCTGAATTTTTGGAAGGTTCATTACAAGGTTTTATTACTTAGGTAATTCAGATTTTTAGTCAGGAGATGGAGTAGTCAGCTATATTCGAAGAGGCTCAGTAATGGACTAGAGCAAAATGAAAATGGTGAGAACACCCAATTTTTTAATTGAAAACATTAAAGGAAAAAATACCCACCTGGAGGCAGAGTAATAGGAATTTGAGTGCATTTTAGTGTGATGTATTTAATTACTCTGCTTCATACAGTGTACTGGGGGAGAGTTATTTCATATTATTAGTTATAGTGGATAATATATAAAGTACTTAGTCTCCCCTGCTTTGGGGATTGGGATGTTATAAGGGGAATTAAGATACAATGCACTCAAGTATCTAAAACACAATTTTAGACTTAAAATTAGTTTAAATGAGGGCGCTTGGTTTGCAGTCACTGTTTAAGTGGATTTAGTTCAATATCAATGAGTCTGAAAAACTTTGCTGCATCATTGGATGGGAGCAAAATGAAATAAAGACCAACGGAAAAAGTATGTGCTCTGAAAACAGGATTGTGAAATGTGGATTTCAGCCGTTACCTAGAAGTAGCTCACATAAATGCATTATTAGGAAAAGCTTGAATTATTATTGTACTTTTGACATATTGTGCAACCATAAGGGTGGGACATTACTAAAACATCTATATGGTGGTTTTTTCAAAGTAAACGGAACCAGAGTGATAAAATCTCAGAAACTGTAAATTTTTAAGAGGAGGAAAAGATGTGTCTGCATTGTCTTCAGTACTGCTGTATATTTCTCTCCTCCATTGTGTCCTCTGTAAACTGTCAATTCAAGAAAATTCGCATTGTTAATTCAGAATCATTCTTCTCCCTCCCCACTAAGTGGTCAGACTGACATGTCAAGGGACTGGCTTGAATAGCCTTCAGTGAGCTTATCCATCTTATAGAAAAATGGGTGGCTCTGTGGAAAGTATACTGAGTCATTTTATTTTCCCCTTCCACAAATATTTGTCATCATTTTAGACAATTAAGTTGTCCTCTGGAACTGCCACTTACCAGAACAACCTAATGAAGCAAGGATTGTGAATATTTTCTCATTTCCTCAAAACTATTAAAAGTCTAAAAGTACTAATTGAGTTTTAATGGTTTAAAATCCTGGAATCCATAAAGACTTGCTTCTTTTTTCTTCCTTTTTTTTTTTTTTCTTTTTCTTTTTCTAATTAACTTGTCATTTTCTGGGCATCTTGTTTGGCTCAGCACCCCCTCCTGTTTTTGATATGCATTAAAATCTCCAACCCTTTAGGACTTCTATCCGATTTAACAATTAATAATTAGAAAAGCTCCCTTTCTAATGATGTCCTCATCTGGGACATCATTTGTTGGCTGATTGATTCTGAACTACTTTTAACTTTTCAAGTTAAGTATTCATGGCACATCTGGTGTGATCATTTCATTGTGGCTTCTTGACTAATAGCATCAAACTGAGATTACTTGGCTTGCTAATGTTGATGTCTTTCTGTGGGAAGGGAATTGGAACATATCATTTGCCTCCTACTGAAATCTTGTCTTCCCCCCTTCTCCATCTTTGGCCACAGCTCTTCCATTCTTACCCTCCTGCTGTATCGGGCATCCCCCCTATGATTCCGCCCACTGGCCCTTTTGGTTCACTGCAAGGAGCATTTCAGCCGAAGGTAAGAAACTACATCGAAAACACACCTGCGTACTTGTAAGTGGAGCCTGGGGCTGGGGCTAGGCAGGTAGCTTCCCGTCCTCTTACCTGCCAGGGACTCATTTTTCCATCCAAATTGACCATCAGTATTAGAGTGTGAATATTTTCTCCTAGTCCATTTAGGTTTAAAACTCAGCCAGAATTTAATTTTTAACCTGTGCTACCCATGTCGTCTCAGTTGAACTAGGATTTCTTGTGCTCTGTAAAATATACAGGGAAAAAATATATATATATATACACATATATATATATATATATATATATTTCCCCCCCAACCCCCACCCTACCAAGATTGTGGACATAAGCTTCTGGTCAGGAATTGTATGGAATGTCGGATAAGCCTCCCACCCCGCTGTCAGGGTCACACTTCCCGAGGTCAAGACTACCATCCTCCTGTGAGATGAAGTAGCCTTTCACCCTTTATGATAACTGAATTCTTTTCTACCTAGCCAGAGATACGCTCCTCCACTTGGGCTAGAGTTATCTCCGAGGGCCAAAATTAAGGCGTTAACTCTCAGAACACTCTACCTTTTTGTGACTTTACATCTACCACGGCCGATACTTGATTCTCATGCCAAAACAGCGAAATGTATTTCTCACGTTAGCAACCATTCTCAGATTGTAAAGTAGGAAATTGCGCTGTGTGATTTTGGTTTTCTTTTATTCCCGTCTCATTTCAAAGCTAAAACACAAATTTTGGGCCAGAGTCTCCCAGGATGAGCACATGATATACTAACAAAGGCATGCTGCCCTAAAATTAGAAAAGAGGAAAAAATTAAGCATTGGGGGTGGGATGGCCACACCTTAGAAATCACAGGGACCTGCATGGAATCGCAGCTCCTGTGCCCAGTTAGACCTCCTCAGGCCTTGAGGATGGCCGGTCTCAACACCTCCTATCTGGGGATAAAATGATGGTGGTTTTTAAACTCCTTCTGCCATCAGCTCTTTACTACCCTCTCAGACCCTGGTCTGTCCCCTCTAGGTTGCAGGAAATCTCTGGTGCATCCCCAACCAGACTGGTAGGTCACTTAATAAATTAGTCTATTTCCCTCACTCACGATTATCCAATCACACAGAAAACTACATCTGGGCAAGGAAGTGTCTCTCCTGGTGTTGAAATAGGCCTTTCCAGGCTATCTTACTGATTGAATATGTAGATTGCAGTTCATTAGCGGAGTTCTTCATATGTATGCAAATCAGGCTGTTAACAACTCCAGCTTAATTGTTAGCTGTACAGCAGCTGATTGCTTTTCTTTCTTCCATTCTTTCTTTTCCCCCCTGCCCCCTTCTCCTTGTAGGCGAGCTTGGTGCCTAGACTCAGCAGGCTCTTTTTTCCACACGAGTCAACTTCCTGGTGTGAAGGGATTCATAGAAGTTGTGGTTTCTTAAATCAAATACCTAGTGAAAAATATTCTAAATCCTCTACCCACTAGAAAGTAGTGCCTTGTGCCTCCAGTGGGCTTTTCGTTGTTGTTGTTAATTCAAAGGACAAAAGCCTACAGATAAGGTTGTTATCATTAATGATATTTAAGAATGGTGTTGGGAATGGGAAGGATGGCGCAGAATTACTTTAGAAATCACTTAACAGTAGGTCTGTGTGGTCCCCAAATTAGGTTCTCTTGTCCCATTCCCACCACTGCTAATGAGTAATTACTGAGTGTAATTCCTTGTTACCGTCTGCCAGTTAAAATTGAGAGTTAGCTTAATGTCTGTAAAACACGTTCAGTTATTCTGATGGGAAGCACCTGATAGAGCAGATTATAATGTTCACTTAAGCATTTCTTGGAAGGTTTGGTGATAAAGCAAAAAACCCACAATGACAGGGCTGTCAGGAACTCAGTAGAAGATGGATTTCAGGGGCAGGCTTGTACGTACGTCTCGCCTCTCTCTGCCTGGAGATGCCATTGCTGGAGAGGACAGGCTCTGGTCAGGGTCCCCTGGGGAAACAGGGAGCGGGGTCCTCACGAAGAGCATATGTGGTCACGGAGGAAAATGGATCCGTTAACTCCTGTATTCCAGAAAGAACCAAACAAAAAAGGGACGTTTGAACTCTGTCATTTAGAACGAAAGGAAGACCTTGCTTTCGTGTCCCGTGTTATATGCTTCCTAAGCTGTGGTCTAATTAATTTGTAGACGTCCAACCCGATCGATGTTGCTGCCCGACCTGGGACGGTCCCACATACTCTTCTCCAGAAGGACCCGAGGGTAAGTGCAAGGTCAGGCTGGGTCTCAGGTAACACAGAAGATGGCATCTCCCCAGGACAGCCAGCCCAGGCCTCACACCTTCCTCAGCCCAGCCGAACAGCTGCTGCCTTAGCTCTTCCTTCTAGTTTGTGGGAGATGCTAGTTACTCTTAGAAAACAGGATCTCCCTTGAGGCCGCATGACACCAGGGCAATGACTTACCACGGGACAGAGGGAGAGCTTATGGTCTAAGCCCAGGAGTCCGACACTCTGAGCTTGCGTAGTTTCCACTCAACCAGCCTTCTCTGTCTCCATCTCCTGAAATTTCTCTCACATGCCAAAGAAACAGCTGTAAAATGTTTTGAATGGAAAGGCGCTACGCGCTTTTCTTCCTGGAGCTCGTTGTACCACACAGCTCTTCCGGCCACTCTACTTGTAATGTGGTATGGACCCTTCTGTCCGTACCACATGGACAAAAGGGTCCATACCACATTACATTACATTATCTGGAGCTAAATAAAATATCCATTATAATTTGGTTGTGTTATTTATTCATAACGCAGACCAACTCTCAAAAAGAATTTGAAGTTACACAGTAGATATAATCTTGTCTCACTGATTGTTATTCATCTTCATAGTAAATGGGGAAAAAAAATGATTACCTTTTACAATATTGTCTTTTTCCCTGGATAACGGCAGTCGGAAATTGATAACCAGATTAGGTAGATGTGTCAAATGACTCAACTGTGTAAGTATTTCTATGGTGTTTAGTGAACTTCTTTAAAACGTCTTATACCTCTAAGTGATGCACAGTCATCAGATTAAGGATAATTATTAAAGATAGCCTATTTCTACTGTGTGTCTGGAAAGGACACTTCTCCTTAATTATCATTAGTATCCAGTCTTTCAAGTCCATGGTCTGAAGGCCCTTCTCCCTTAGACCCATGCAGTGAGGTTTGGAAGGGCTGCTCTAAGACAGTGAAACTCCTGAGATGTGTAATGGGAGCAAATTGTGTTGCCAGAGGGCAAATCACTATTGATTAAACTTGTCCGGGGGGCTTGTCAGCGTAGATGTACCAAGGCTTGTGAGGTGGGGGAGGGGCGCTTGGCACTTTTGATAGTGTGAAAATGGGTTAATTATTCTCTAAAAGGGCTTCATTTAAAAGTAAAATTCTAACATTTTAATTTCCCCTCCTAATGAAGCACTACAAATTTGTTAATTAGAGCAATTGTTTGAGTGACAGGCATGTAACCAAGTTGTCATTTTCTCTTCACAGTTGACAGATCCTTTCAGACCTATGTTAAGGGTAAGCAAGCTTCTTCTAGAACTGTTTTGCAACCTCTGTTTGACTCCCGGAGGGTTAAAAATACAATTACAAGGAAACAAGCCACAGAAACACTGGAGTAAAATGTTGGAACGACAGTGGTCAGGTTTTTCAGAGAGTGCGATTGAAAACGGCCTAAGTGGTTTTGCTTTGAGCATTGGAGGATGCCAGGCCATGGAGATAAAGCGAACAGATAAAATTCAACTGAGTCAGATTCTCTTGTTAGTTCTGGCAAAAGGTTTGACTTGTGGAAAACTTAAGGGAAAGACTTAGGCTGAAATTAGGATTCCACTGAGCTCTACCGTTTCTCTTGCACCTAGAAAATACATATCCGGCTCTATTTATTTTGGCTGGTGGCTGCCTCTTTCTGCACTAAGTGATGTTGACTTGTCACAGCCATTCGACCTTTTCCTCTGGTGCAGAAAAGAGCTACTAGAAGGGGCTTCCCTGGTGGCGCAGTGGTTGAGAATCCGCCTGCCAATGCAGGCGACATGGGTTCAGGCCCTGGTCCGGGAAGATCCCATGTGCCGCGGAGCAACTAAGCCCGTGTGCCACAGCTACTGAGCCTGCTCTCTAGAGACCGTGAGCCACAACTACTGAGCCCACGTGCCACAACTACTGAAGCCTATGCACCACAACAAAGAGTAGCCCCCTCTCACCACAACTAGAGAAAAGCCTGTACACAGCAACAAAGACCCAATGCAGTCAAAAATAAGTAAATTTATATTTAAAAAAAAAAAAAGAAAAAGAGCTACTAGAAGTATTGGTTTGTCTTGAGAGGCCAGCAAATGTCCTCTGAATAAATGCTGACTTCCTTGGTGTATGTGGGGAGCGGTGAGGGGAGGGGATGATGGATGGTTGGATGGGAGATGGATGGATAGTATATTTCTCTACTTAAACCCTTTCTGGTGCATATAATCAGATAATTCAGTTTCTCCAAAGGGGGAGAAAGGAGGATGGTGTCATCACTTAGGCGATTTCAAATGACCCATAATTTCATTACAAGAGAACTGAACCCAAACTTGGATTTAAGTATATACTTCAGAAGCAGCTCCTTAATAGAGAAACCGGAAGTGTCTGTCCTTCGCCGGTGTAGGAATGGGGCAGTGTTTCTTCTCATCCATCCTGTTGTTATGGAGCTCATGTTCGGAGCTTACGGGTGGATTACGTAGCAGGAATACAAGTGAAGTGGCACGACGTGGTCCCTGCCCCCCCAGGTAGTGAGACAGAGCTCACAGCTACTCCGCAGCTTAGAAAGCAAAGACGTGAACTAGTCTGAGAGACAGGGGTTGATGCCCTCCCAGAGGGCAGGGCAGGCACTCACTCTGTAGAGGCCTAGAGAGGAGAAAGGAGTGAGTTCTCTTCTCTGTTTCTTTTTTCACTTAGAAATGAACCGTGCCACCCAGCACGAATATGGGCAGTTTACTCTTAGTGAAGCACTTGTGGGAACTGGGCTTCAGTAAAAAATGTGGATTTCTTTGTTCCACTTCGGGGGTTTAAAAAAAAAAACAACCCAGTGTTGGGGGAGGTGACACAGGTGCTGTCCCCTCTCTTGCTTTCAAACTGGTTCACGGACATTCACTAATTAGTTCTTCTGAGCAGCAAGTTCGCATTACGGCCTGGCCATGCTTGTGCAGTAGGGCTTCACCCCACCAGGCCTGCCAGCTGGCGCCAGAAAAGAGAGAGACGGGGGGCACAAAGTGGGACTCAGGCTTTGCCACGTTATCCTTGGTAACCAGGGAGGTCCTCCTCAGGGCTGGTTTTCAGAGGAGTAGCTGCCGGCTCGGGCTCCCGTGGCAGGGGAGGTACAGCCCACTGGGGCTCTCTCCGGCCCGGGCACCGGCCTGCTGCTGAGAGGAGGCACTTGGAGGGGACAAAGCATCTCGTTTCGTGGAAAAAGCCTCTGCAGCTAGAATCTGCTGAAAGCTTTGGGGAAGTTGAAGGGGGTTTCTCGGAAAGTCTTCCTTCTGACCACGTTGCTCTTTCTTGTTCCAGAAACCAGGGAAGTGGTGCGCTATGCATGTTCACATTGCCTGGCAGATCTACCACCACCAACAGAAAGTCAAGGTCAGTCTTGCCTTCCTAGCCTTGGGGAGGGGTGCCCACCTGCGGGCGTGTGATCTCCCGATTGAGGAGGCGTTGAAACAGATTCTAAAGTCCCACCGGCAGGCAGGCAGGCAGGGTCAGGTATCTCTTGGAAAAGCTATTTGGCAATCTTGCTGTTAATTAGGGAGATCACCAGCAAATAGCAAAACAGAAGCAAACTGGTAACATCCTGATGTTTTGGGGTTTTTTTTTAAATGATTTTGTCATCTTATTGATCCAAATGGCCTCTATAGATTAAATCCTAAAATAAAGGTTTGGGGAATCTAATTATAGTGACAAGTATTAGTATAGAACATACTTAGTATCTAGGAAGAGCTGTACATGAAAAGTTTTCTTTCTGTAAGAATTGGTACATTCTTTTCCCCCCAACCAGCATTTAGAAAAAAATTTTTTTTCCTCTTCCATTACACTTTATTACAGGGTATTGAATATAGTTCCCTGTGCTATACAGTAGGACCTTGTTATTCTTTCCATTTTATGGCTTTGGAAAAAAAGATCGTTTGTGCCCAATATGTTACTCATTTAGGCCTATATGATGATTCCATTAGCAATTCATATTATTAAAAATTCCTCTTCTAGAAGCGGTATTTGGTTTACAATGACCTATCCCCACTCTCCTTCGTCCTCCCGATGACCAATGCCAGAGGTCAGACTACAGTCAGTGCTTGTCAGAACCGCCGTCTGGCTGGTTACCTTACCTATCCTTGGGAGATCTTTCTTTTTTGTCTGTACTTTCATCATATAGATGAATACATTGCATGTATTCCCAGGGCTTTATGATGCAATAGAAAACAGATAAAGGGCTTCTGCAGACGACCAGATATGACATCACTGGGACCAAACTAACTGACAAGTCCAGATTTTACGGTCTGAGTAACTATACCAATCAAGTAATTCCAGTACACTTCCGCTGGAATCCATATTTTCATGAACAAGCTTTTAGTCCTGACAGCATTCGGGGGCCATCATCAGAATAGAAAAAGAGGGAGGGAGAGCTAGGCATCCCAGAATTTTTTTTTTAACGGTTAAACAATTTTTTAAAAACCTACCTAGCTAGAAATTAAAAAGCCACCCTCAGTGAATGAGGTCACTAAGGTGTCTTGCTTTGGTACCAGATACCTGCTGTTCGTCAGAATATCCCGTCGGTGAGTTTCGCTCACCTTGACGTTAGTGTCAGGCGAGGCTCTATTAGAAACCTATTGGTTTAGCTGCATGAGAAGACGCATGTGCTCTGAAGAGCTACAACTAGATTCTGATGGTTAGTTCAGTTCACTTTTGTTCTGGATGATGTGGTTAGCGGAACGGTGGGTAAATCACGTTCTCCTGGTAACTCGTTTGGTTAAAAGCGATGAAGGATGGCGTAGGTGCCACGTTGGCATCTTCCTTTCCACAAGCGTGTCCCCAGTGACTCAGAGTGAACGTTCATTATCCCAATTCAATTAGGAAGACCTCTTGCACAGGAGATAGCTGTTCATCTTCCCTTTCCGGCAAATTCTTTGTAATCCCCAAGCTCCATTTTGCTTCACGGACCTAAG